AGATAGGGAAGACAAAACACAGGGTGATGAAGCCACAGGAGGGACAGAGTGCGTTACCCCCAGGGAGAGTGGTGGCTGGGCTTGGCTACCTCTGCATTTCATCCTTACACAGAAGGCGAGGGAGGCTGCGAGAGTGTCAGGAAGCCTAAGCTGAGCTCCCATTCAGCTGACCTTGCTGGCTATGGGTTGTCTATGCTCCTCTGTGTGGCACAGGTTTGTTCAGTTAAAAATAAATTTTAAGCCAGGCATGGTAGTGTATGCCTGTAATCCCAGCACTCTGGGAAACTGATGTAGGAGGACTGAAAGTTTGAGCCCAGCCTGGGCAACTTAGTGACTTGGTGAGAACTTGTCCAAAATATAAAATAAAAAAAAAAAAATAGCTGGGGATGGAGCACAGGGCAAAGGCCCTGGGTTCAATTCCCAGTGCTGCCCCAACACAAATATTTTAGACAATCACACAGACACATGCAAGTGCGCCGGCCTCTATTTCTGTGTCAGCCTCAGACAGGTGTCAGGGAGCAGGCACCCAGCCCTCACAGCCATGCCCCTGCGTCAGGCCCTCCTTCACTTGTCTCCCCACCTGCTCCCTACACCACACACCTGGCCCCAGAAGCTACCAGTTAGTCGCATGTGGCACAGAGTGACAGCACCCACCACGCAGCTGCCCTGCGGTGGGGCAGGGTGCGGAACAAATCCGCCAATGCACAGAGCAGCCAGAGGGGCCCTGCGGACCGCCTCGGTGTCAAAGTGCCAAGATGGAGAGGCACCTGGGGACGGCGGCTGGGCCACTGCACCTGGGGTCGGGAGGTTGCAGAGGAAGCACTGTGATACTCCCTCGCTTCCCCCTTTTCTGTGCTGTCTTCCGAACAGGTCCCAGGGCAGGCCTCTGCCACAGCCGGAATGGATGCCCCCCTTCATCCTCTTCCAGGGGCCCAGAGCTGCGATGGCCACCCAGAGAAGCCCCTGGCCCCTGGCCCGCCTTGCAGGGATGACAGGGGACCCAGCCCAGGGTGAGCTGGCCAGCAGATGGTTCCTGTCCACGGCGCTGTGTTTATGTTAATTGCAGATATTTTTAACGTATTGTGTTACTCCATCCATCTTTGTGAACGGTCCATCTTGTAAAATTCTTTTAATTATGTTATTTTTCCTTGCCTATCTTCATCATCTACAATTATTTATAATGTCACTGTCTTTGTTTCAAATGCTGGGTATAAACATTGTTGTAGCAGTTCTTCGATGGGGTTCATATAGTTTTTACAATTGCTTTGAAATGCTTCAATGGCCAAGGGGGAGGAGGCTGGCTGCTCGCATGGGGAAGAGACCCCGAAGTGCTCTCTGCTCTTGGTTCCAGCCACTCCTCTGAAGCTCAGACAGCACACACCCGGTGGGGGTGGCAGTCCTGGTCGGCGGCTGGATTAGGTTTCAGAACCGCTGTCCCCATAGACACGGGGCAGGATCCGCAAAGGGCACTGGCAGGGTAAGACGCCGAGGAGAAAGACTAATGGTTTGTTTTCATTTTTATAGGGATTTTCTGAAACCTCAACTTTCACCTCTCACCCCTTTTCAACTCTTTTTTCCTGAGCAGGCTGTTGGCCAGGTTTCCCGTGAGAGCAGTGGAGGCCGTGGGGACGGGGTACAGTGGAACGCATGCCTGCCTGGGCCTCAGGTGTGCCCATGCCACGCCTCACAAAGCCAGTGTTGGACCTCCCTGGGGGTAGAGTGGCCAGGCTGTTGGGGCTAGGTCAGCAGCCAGTAGCGGGTGGGTACAGAGGGTTGTGGCCTTGAAGGGGACCTTGGCTGCCCAGAGATGACAGGCCCCCACTGCTGAGCGCTGTCACAGGCCAGGAGGCAACAGGGCCAAGTGCCATGGACTGAGACCCTGAGTCAAAATAAACCTCTCCTCCTTATATGCTGGTTATCCCAGGTATTTTGCTACAGTGGCAGAAAGCTGGCTCCATCACATGTGGGTTTCCTGCCACTCTGGCCCAGTGCTTGGGGCAGCCCCTGGGATTCCTTGAGGAACAGTTCTAGTGCAGGAGGAGCACGTGGCCCAGGCTGTCCAATGGGCCCGGAGTGCCTCGACACACGGCTGGCGTGGCGGTGAGCAGGGCCCGGCGTGTGGGTGGGAGGAATACCCAGAACTCTCTGCGAGGTTCCTGGAGGAGGCCAGGTCCTGGGACTGCACAGCATATTCTGAACTCGGTGGGTCATGGCACTTGGGTCAGCTGAGGCGAATTCTGTCATCTGTACCTGACATGTAACTGGCCCATTTCTTAGTCCCGCCTGGCTTTAGGGGGTGACACTGGAGCAAGGAGGACGGCGGTGATCCCGGGGGTCTGCTCACTATGCTGCAGCCTTGAGCATGGGCCTGGGACTTGCAGGTGTCATGGACGCCACACGGAGGTGAGTGCTGACCAGACAGATCCGTAACTCCTGACCCTAGCCCTCCCTGATGGCCCAGGATGGCAGCCTGTGCAGGAGACAGGACAACATCAGGCCCACTGAAGGGGACAGGGACCTGGAGGCTCTGCAAGCATTTTCTCCTTTACCCACTCAGAGACATGGCTGCACTTTTGTTGTTTCCCTTTGCATGATCCCATTCTCATCCCAAGAACTGTGTGGGGGCCCTTCCTGAAAGTCCCCAAGTCTCCCCGATGTCACACTGGCGCCCACTGAAGGGTGTGCGTGCAGATGCGCACCCACAATACAGCTCATACTCAACGTCAGGAAGCTCCAGGGTGACGTGGGGCTCAGCTAGAAGAGCAGGAGAAAACCAGTAGGCCCCTAACTAGAGACAGACAGGGTTAACTTTGGTCCCTTGGCAGGCGACACAGGCAGCCCCTAGAAGTGAGGGGGGTCCAGGGAGCAGTCAGAGCCCAGAGCAAGGAAGTAGGTATGTGTGGGGCACAGGGTGGCAGCCCTGTCACCGAGCTATGAAGACGACCGACCGCACTGGTAGTGGCCTGAGCAGCTGTGCACCCCGGGTACCGCCCATGGGCACCTGCCTGCTCCTGAAGAGGCTGCCTTGTCACCCTGCTGGGAGCCTGGCCAAGGAGGAGGGCACTCGGAGGGCTAGCTCCTGGCTGGAGCCCTCCTGCCTCACCTGCTGCCTGTGGAGTGGAACTGAAGTCCCTGAGGTGTCGGAGTGAGGAGACTGGGTAACTCGTCTCCAGCACCTCACACTCTCTTGCCTATGTGGCCATGTACTTCTATGGGTGAGAAGCGGGTTAGGGGACACACACAACACTGGTCTTTCTGGATTCCCCCTGAAGGTGGGAGATGGGGTGGGAGCACCCTGTCAGGAGGTTGGGCCCCGGCACCAGCCGTGTTGAAGGGGAGGCTATGCATGGATGAGGACTCCCTGGATGGGCCCGACCCCAAACTCTGTGTGTCCTTGGGCCCTTCTCACTGGCCAGGGCCTCCCCAGACAGGTCTGAAGTGCTTTACTCTGTACCCAACCAGTGCTGAGCTGCTCACCTGCCTCTCTATCCCCTCTCCATACCCAGCCTCGAGGCTCTCAGTCTTGCCCTCACCACCAGCCACAGGAAGTTTTCCGATGGGGCCCCTCCATGTATACCACCTCTAATGGCCTCCACCAGCCCCTTGGACCTGGGGTTCTTGATGGGGAGATTCTGCACCCCCCCCCCAGGGGACATGTGGTCACATCAAGAGGGCTTCTGTTGTCACCTCTTGGCATGGAATGTTACTGGGACCTTGTGAGAAGAGGCCAGGGGCATTCACGGGTGGCCTGCAGTGCCAGGAGCCAGGATACAGAAACGTCATGTGTCTGGGGAGAGGCTTTGTGGAGGCCAAGGCCAGATGCCAGCACAGAGCACAGCCTCTCAGGCATCTTCTCCTCTCCTTCTGCCAAGACCTTACCGGAGTTGGACTGAGCTGCCAGAGGCTCCCAGCCTTGGCCCCGAGTGGTACCTCGGGAGACCCACAAGGGAGGTGCCACTGCTATAAACCCCACTCCCACATCAGCCCTTGAACACACCAAGGGAATGAGCTCCAATACACAAAGCGCTTAGGACAGGTCCCAGGCATCCTGTCACACAGGGCACACTGGTTTCTATTACTGTTACCCTGCCCAGCCTCCAGGCCTAGGCATGTCCTGCTCCTTCTGTCCTGAAGGCCTGTTCTCCCTTTTGCTACCTGGGGAAACTGCCTCACCCTCAAGACCACCCAAGCTTGCCTGACTCAGTGAGCACCCCCTCCTGCAAGGGAGCAGTCACGTCATCCTCTTGGTCCCCATGTCCCTCTCCCCTTTAGGGTGTCCAGGGTGGTTGCCACCTTCTGAAGTCCTTTCTACCAGCTGTGCTTGGGTGTGCTGTCAGCCACAGCAGGGAGGAGAGAAGGGACAGGCTTGGAGGAAGCACCCACCTCCTAGGGTGGTAGAGATGCACGGCATCCCAGGCTCAGCCCCCAGAGGACTAGCCCACCTTACTGACACCAGCCCTCGACTTCCAAAGGGACTGCAGAAGTATCCTACGTGGGATATGGCCACTGAGCTCCTGCCACAGCCGTGCCCAGGCCCTGTCTTTACACTCAGCAACACTAAACATACCTTCCCCAGCAGCCAAACTGAGCACCACTGTGAAGAGCACTGGGACCCTGTGTGCATCCCTGCAGGCTATGCTGAGGACACCAGATCTCCTTGTGTGATTCATTCCAGACATGCACACTGTAGCCCAGCTGTGACAAAGCTTCAGGCAGACGGACCTGAGGACTGCAGGCCGGCTCCTTTTCAAAACATCCATGGCGGGGCTGGGGGTATGTCTCGGGTAGCCTCCTTGGCTAGTGTGCTAGGGCTCTGGGTTCCTTCTCCAGCACTGCCAAACCAAATCAAACCAAACCAAACCACTGAACCAAACCAGATCAAATGTTGGTGTCGGGAAACAAAGCAGACCTCACAACCCACAGTGGTGCCCTCCTTCCCTGAGCCCGAATCCAGAAATGCCTGAGAAGTTACTTGGCATCTTACATCACAGCAAAAATGCTAACTATCTCAAGTGACAAGTGTATTTCATTCCTACAGGAGGATGTCCTATTCCTAGGAACAGGGGCTGAAGATCACAGGCACAGCCTTGGCACGACAGCTGGCATTCAAAGGGCTCATGCACGCACTGGGAAAGCGACCACAACAGCCTGGTAGCAGCTGTCAGGCTCGGTGGGGCAGCACTCCGAGAGGTGCACCTCAGCTCTCCTCCTGCTCGGAGTCGTCCACAGTGCAGGGAGGGGGCCCTCCACACAACGCATCTGACGAGGACACCAGCTCAGAAAGGCTCACATTCCGGCCGGGGCTGCAGCTCCCGTCTGCTGACTCTTTCTTGGTGACATCCCCTGCTTCCAAAGTCTCGGAGTGCGCAGAAGATGCCAAGTGTGCACGAATGCCAGCCCTGCCAACGTCTTTCAGCAAGAGCCAATGTGGTGCTGGCAGGAACCACACTCCAGGCAGCTGGCCGAGGGCTCCAGGGGAAGCCCAAGGACAAGAGACAGGGCTGCTCCACAGACTGCAGCCGCCACCAGAGGCTGGCCAGGCAGGACAGCAGGTTTTACGGGGGAAGGAAAGCAGTTTCATCTGAGCCCCAGGGGAGCACACAGCCCAGCACAATGCCATGCACAACCCCAGAACTCTCAGCATCCTCATCCTTGGGCACAAAGGCAACTCTTTACTTTTTCTTCCGTGGGTTTCTAGGAGTCTTGCAGCCCAGTGCTGTCAGGTTCCCTTCTATCTGGCCGCCCCAGGGTCTGGACGGTCACCTAGGTGTCCCTTCAGGGAGCTGAGAGGAAAGATTCTCCTATAGGTTGCAGTAGAGAAAGGGGCAGTGTATCACAGGCCTGGCACCAGCACGGGGCCACACCTGGTGGCCCATGTCTGAGAAGCTGTCGCGTAAAAATAATCCACGTTGCTAGTCTCTCTTGAAACACTGGATGATGTGGTGACACTGTGGCCACTAGAGCCCAGCAACACTGGTGTGCAGCTGAGTGGTGGCGCCTCTGCAGATGTGCCAGGCCTTGGCCCTGCACCACCAGGCTTCCAGGGGCAAACAGGCCAGGCAAGGGGGCCACCTCACCTTCTAGGCACCAGGCACATGCTGGGCACTTGAGACTGGACTGTCACACACTATACCAGCTGGACGCCCAGGACACCCTGCAAAGTGGGCCCAGGAAGGTGAACGTGTGGGGAAGGTGGCCTGATTCACGGTGGTGCAGCCACGGCCAGGCAGGGATTTTAATGCAGGCAGTTGTTTAAACTCTTCTTCTTTCAAACAAAATACAGAAGACACCATTCCTTGTATGTGGGGGCTGCAGGTCTACACCAAATGCAGCCATCCACCCAACTCTGCGCCTGCTGTGGCTGAAGACAGGAAATGCTGCTGCTGACCTCAGACAAAGGCTGTGACCCAGGCCTACGCATGCAACTCCTCCATAGAGTCCTGGAGGCCCAGTTCTCCTAGCTGGTGGTGGCAGGAACAAGCATCGAGCAAGCAAATGCAGAACCCTGGCCCTGTGTACGGCCTGCCCGCAGGGAAGCTGGCTTGCATGGGGGTGGGCCTGAGCAAGGTGGTGGCGCTAGAGGCCTGCTGTTCTGGGTGGGAGGAAGTGCCAGGACAGGGTATCTTACTGGACAGCTGGTTCCTCCACCTACCAGAGGGAGCCAGGGCAAGGCAAGGCCGACAGTCTCGGGTGTCAGGACTGAACTGACGTGTCAACAGTCCTGGGGTGTCAGGCCCAGCTGCAGCTGAGGTGCCCCTCTCATGCCTGGGTCTCTAAGCCCAGGCTCCTTCCCTGTAATGTGCGGGAGGGGACTTAAGTCCGTGGTCCTCAGCCTAAGGACAGGCAGAATCCTGTCACAGTCTTAGAGATGAGGCTTTAACTCACAGACACGGGAATCCACACTGGTGGACTGAGGCTGAGGTGACACTCATGGCCTGCAGGAATGGCCCTCACAGCACTGCTGTGCCCTTTATGCTATGTGTGGGCCTACACGGGCATGTTCTAGGAACACAGAGGCCTCACATGTCTTCACCGTCCAGAGCAGTGCCCCCTGTAAGTCGCTTTGATGCCAGCCTTAGCCGGGGGCTCCGCAATAAGACCTCGGGTACCACACAGCACAAATGTGGCCCACAAATGTGGCTCAGAAGCAGGTGGGAGACCATCTGCATAATGTCACCCTTCTCACTGTGACGAACTGAACGCATCCCCACCTTCACAGGCAGAGGTACCAGCCTCCAGGACCTCACAGTGAGGCTGTGGTCTTACAAGAAGGGAAGTTAACACGAGGCTATCATGGTGAGTCCTAATCCCATAGGTGACGGGTACCCTTGTTAGAACAGACGAGGACACAGGCACACACAGGAGACCACATGCAGACACAAGGAGAGTGTGGCATCCACAAGCCAAGGAGAAAGGCCTCCGTCAAACCAGCCCTGCCAGCCCCTGTGAACTTGGACTGCCAGCCTCTGACCTGGCACAGGGATGCCTGCTGTGGGCCCCCAGCCTGAGCTGCAAGGGAGCAGGGGCTCTGGGGGCTGGGTGCACACAGCACTGTGGACACAGACAATCCACAGCGAATTCATGGAGCCGGGCACCCAAAAGCTAGAGCTGTGTCTGACACCGGGACAAAGGCTTGTACGTGGAAGAGCAGGTACTTGGTACAGGAAGGCTGGCGAAAGGAAGATGGCCAGTGATACCAGGCCTGCTGGGCGAGGAGGGACCAGCAGGCAACCGCATGTACCATAGGCTTCCTAGCTCTGACCTGGACAAGCAAGGGCCCACAGCCCTGGCCTGGCTCCCTGTCCTCCCAAGCTGGTGAGGGGGCATGCAAAGTACTGTCTGTGGACAGCATAGACTCCGCATCACCTCCAACTCCACGCCAGCATCCAACAGAAACTCTGACACGGCAGGGTTCTGTCAGTAGCACCAAAATCCTGGTGGAGGAATGAAGAATGCCAGCTGTCCGGGACATAGAGTGACTGAGCCTGCCTGCTGTCTCCACACATGGTGCAGGATTCTGCTGGAACCTGAGTCCTGGGAATGGGTGGGAGCCCCCTAGAGAGGGGTTCTGCGTCCACAGCAGCCTCCCTAGGGACCAGGGGCAGATTAAGACACTGGCCACCACTGACTGCCACCGTGAGCAAGGAGCATCCACCCCCTGCCCTGTGGAATGGGACAGTACCACGTGTGGCCGTGGAGAGGTGGGTAAAGTGCTGGTGGTGGCACCAGTGGTAGCTGCAGTGGTGGCCAAGACTTGGTGGCAATCCTTCCTGTCCAGTTTCTGTACAGAGGGCCTCTGGCAGAGTGGTCAGGAGTGAGCGCTCTAGGTTGAACCCTAGCTCTGACACTTACCAGACAGGCTGTACCGCGCACACTGAGCCGCAGCTCCTCCTGTAAAGGATGACCTGTGCTGAGGGCCGTGGGGACAATGCAGGGGTAGGCGACAGCACTTTCAGGGGCTTACTGGACTCCTCACTTTGAGGGCTGGCCGAGGAGTGAACCAAGGTCCCTATGGGTCCACACCTCTGGGCATGATTCTACAATTCCCTTTCATTTGGGTCCCATCTGCCTAGAGTCCATGAAGTTGTGACTGATAATAATTTAAAAGCTTATTAAAGATTCCCAAGAGCTGATCACCCTAAGTGACAATCAGCAGGATCTGCAACCTCTAGTGACCCTGTAGTAAGACCAAGCTCCTACTCACAAGAAAAGTGCTGGGCCCCTGGCATGAAGGAGGCACCCATGAGCAAGATGGGCATTACTGTGGTCCTGGGGGGCACTGTGGCCCTGGCCTCCACCTAGCGAGTGCTTAAAGCTCTGTGCTTTGGCAGCTGCATGGTCACTCGGTGGGAAGGGTGTGTGGGAGGATGCAGGGCCCGGGGCTTTCTGTGCCAGGCCCAGCTCCGAACACGCTATGCTAAAGCCGCACTCAGGAGTCTCCCCTGAGTGGCCCATGAGGAGCCCCATGGAGGAGGCGCCTACCATGTACCCGGTGGCTGGCGGGTCTGGCGCAGGCTGAAGGGTTTCAGAGGAGAAAGCTTCATGCACATTTGTCTCCTCCTCTTCCGGAGCGAGCAACGCAGAGCTGGAAGGCATCAGGAACAAGTCCCCTCCACCTGTCACCCAGCTCTTCTCCAGTGGGAAGTCCCCAAGAGGGGGCTCTTGTCCCCCACCATGTGGGGACGCGAGGGGGGTGGGACCTGCGGCCCTACCTCAGGGCTCTCAGGACGTGGTGACCCAGCCGCACGGGCAGGGGCCTCATCAATGCCCAGTACCTTCCTCTGGCTGCCCTTTCTCCAGCACAGCCACTGCGGGGTCCCGATAGCACGAGGGCTCTGTGGGGAGCAGTGCCGGAAATGCAGGCTTCTTGGCCCTTCCTCCGGCCTCTGACTGCTGGCTGCCCCAGCACAGGCTATTTCACCGAGACAGTGTTTTTAATCAGAGTGAGACAGAAGGGACCCAGGGCCCACATCCCCACGCAGTGAGAGTCAAACGCTGCCCGTCATCTAGCTCTGCAACCCCTGCCCAGCCCTGCTGGCACCTGACCTGCAACCCAGGCAGGGGCTGCCACAAGCACACCCAAAGGACCCTGCCTGTCTGGCCCGGCCCAGCTTGCTCTGCAGGGTGTAGTCCTGACCCCATCGCTTCCCACGCTGAGGGGCCTCCGAGCACGGGACCGGAGCCCCTGCCACCCTGCAGCCCGCCACAGCCTTTCCTCCCCTGGTACAGGATGGCTCTCGCTTACTGCAGATGCTTTCACAATGAAGGCTCCTCAAAAAGGTTCAAGGGAGGCACCGGAGGGAGGGCCAGGGCGGGATGGAAGGAGGAGGGTGGGATGAAGGAATCTGCCCAGTGATGTTTAACAAGAGCGCCACAAACAGGAAGCAGACAACTAAGAAGGCTGCTGACCTGCAGAGGAATGTGAACTCCAGTGCACCACGCTGCCACATCCCTCTTCCCTCCACCCACCCCGCCTGGGAGCACGCCCACGCCGCCTCCTCCGGGCACAGCCAGCCCTGAGCGTGCCCTGGCCAGAGGGAGGGAGCCAAGCGGAGACCAACAGGTCCTAGACCCCCCAAGAAGGGTGAAGAAGGGTCTCCTCCCCCTTCCTGGGATAGTGCTTTGGAGGAGTGATGAGCATGCTCGGCTCCCTGCCCACTAGGCACTGCCCCTCTGGGTGCCTAGCCCTGCTGAGGCATCCCACAGGCCCTGTGGGCCTGGTAGCGTGGTCTGGAAGCTGGGCTGCCCGCCTAATCCCCTGCACGTTCCCTGGGGCCCAGGGAAAGGCCCAGGTTCTTGGGACAACACACATTCACGACGAGGGGGCCCACAGGACTCTGGGGCGGCTGAAGGCAGCACCGCAGAGGCCGAGGGGTGGTGGGTGAGTGGACGTGGTTTGGAAGGTGGAGGATCCCACAGCTGGGGTGCTTTGCCTCCCTGGCTCAGCTCCAGCTTGGCAGGGGCCTGGGGGTACAGTCAAACAGAGTCAGCCCCGTGCCATGGAGGAGCAGGGCCCTGGCTGCCATGGTCTCCCCGGGAGGGGGCAGTATCGTCTGTGGCCTCGGGGCTTAGAGAAGGCCCTGGGGAAGCAACAGCCCCCTCACTTCCGCAGAGGAGCCAAAGCCCTGCTTGCTGGCTAGGGGCTGGCGCACCGCCCTGTCCTTAGGGAAACTTCCCCATGGACACCACACTGCTGTGCTGACAGAGCCCCTTGCTGGCTGCCCCTTGTTTTCACAGTCAGCCTGGAGCTCTGACGCAGAGGACAGGAATGGCCCGGGTGACACTGAGGGGAGGCTGACGGGCTCAGGAGGAAATGCTTCAACTTGGCTGCACTGGGAACTTTTGTAAGACAATGGTGGGGAATAGAAGATCAGAGACCATACTGCGTGATGTGAATGTTCCCTTGGTCCCCCCCATACCTTCTTTCTGTGCAAACATGCACACGCACATACACGTATACACACACGGGGTGTTCACTGTCTATCCCTCTCAGACCCGTGTAAAATGCAAGTGGAATCAATGCCCAAGTGCCCAGGGACCAGTGCAGGGAGAAACTCAAGGTTCTGCCCCCTTGGCCCGGCAGCAACAAGGCCAGCCCGGCTCAAGGGTGGTCTGCCTCATGTCTACACTGTCATGTGCGATTACCATTGTGTCCCCCTCACAGACGAGCTGGGCCGTGTCCACGGTCACCCCCAGGGGTGGAGTGGGAGTTCAGACTCTGACCTTGACCCTGCTCAGGCCAGACCCTGACCCCATGTTCAGATGCCCAGGATATATGCTGGAAAGGCAGGATCAGCAACCTGGGCCAAGCAGCACATCCTGGAACCACCTCTGCCACTCCCCTGTGCCCTGCAGTGTGCCGGAGCTGGAGGAGACAGTGCGCTTACCAGGGATGTGGACCTTGAACTTGCCGCTCTGGCCAAAGGCACTGTCAATGACGCCCTGCTCTCCCGTGGACAGGTGTACCTTGAGCCCCACGAAGAGCTGGATATTAGTCTCCTTCTTGAACAGAGAGCGGCCAATCACACTGTAGTCATCCATCGCCTGCACGGACGGCCAGCATGGAGAGAGAGGAAGATGTCAGTAGGGTTTGCATCTTCTGTGGGCCCCCACACCCCTGCTCTTGCTGCCCCTCATCTTTGGGTGGGTGCCTAGGCTGAGAGGGGATGCAAGTGTATGAAGACATGGCGGGGCCAGCCTGACTGCATGAGCTGTGCACATCTGGAAGCTTTTCCAGATCTCTCCCCTCTGGCCAGGCCATCTCCTGTCCTCACCACCCCTGCTCTGCGAGTCCTCTCTCCCACGGCAAATGTGGGCCGGGATGCTGAGTGCCCTCCACTGGGGACTGCACAGAGATGACAAGTGTACAGCCTCTGCCCTGTCCATCCTGTCCTCCTGGGAGAAGCCATGCACCACAGTAGCAAGTGGCCCACAGCCTCTGTGGACCGCACCAGGACCACTGAGGACAGGCACGAGCGACCATGGGCATTGTGTTCTGTGTCAGACAGCAGAGTGTGAGGCGAGGGAGGTGCGCTCCCCTGCCACACCAACAGAGTCAGATGCTGGGAAGGACTCGGGAGCAGCCTCCCCATGCCCAGGCACTTTCACACACACCCTCTCTCTTGATGACCTTTGAAATGCTTGCATGGATGAAGACACCCACCAAGTGACCCTTGTATGCTGTGGGGAAAGGATAGATTCTCTTGTCACTTCTAGTCCACAAGGACATCTGCAGCCCTACTCCGAGCTGGGCAGGCTTTCTGGTCACACACTGGGCTGCCCCAGAGAGCTGGTGCTCAGGCCTCTCTAGAGCTGCTCCCTCCACCCCAACCCACATCCCCCAAATCAAAGGTACACGGGGTCTACCAGGACCCCTGTACCCCCTGGCAACCCCAGCCCAGGACACTCATCCAGCCACCACAACCCCTCCAGGGCCGAGGCTGGGGCTGGCTTGTGTCTACCCACTCTACAGCAAAACATTCACTGAGCTCCGGAGCAAGGGGCAGGGAATAGAATGGTTACAGCACTAGCTCTAAAGCCAGACTCTGCCTTTAAACCTGGTAGCTGCGTGACCTGGGAAAGGTGGCGAACTCACTGTGCCTCAGTTTCTCTAGTAGAAAGTGTGAAGATGAAAATAAGAGAAAGCCACACTCTTGGAGAGGGGGTCTGGCAGCCCCTGGAGCACATGTGGTGAGAGAGTGAGCTGGACAGACGTGGTCGCTATGTCCTGACACAGTCACAGAGCCTCCGGAGGGAGAAAAGGAAGCTGACCCAGAGGTGGCACAAACAGAGGACTGGGTGCTCCAGGCTCCCAGCAGGGCCCAAGGCAGTGGGGAATGAAGGGCACAGGGTACGAGACTGTGAGAGTCACAAGGGCGACTGTGCAGGCCGAGTCTCCCTGCAGGAGGCAATGCGGCCTGTGGAACGGGGTGGCTCTGGCTCCTCTCGAGAAGGGGTCAGTGGGGACAGCAGCAGGACAGAGAAGCGGCTTGGGCTAGAGAGGGAGACAGGTCCAGATGGCCACATGCACAAGGACCCTTCAAAGGAAGGGTCCCCTGGTGGAAGCTACTGTCTGCCCCTCAGGTTTCTGGATGGCTCCACACCTAGGGGAGTCCACAGGCCCAGTCCCATGGGCTCACAGCAGCTCAGTCTGGCCCTAGGGCAGCTGCACCATCAGGAGGCCCTTGGGCACATCCAGGAGGAACCACGCTTGAGGGGTGGCCAGGCTCGGGCCAGAAGGAGGCTGGCAGAAAGTGTGTGTGGTGTCCAGGTAGGGGTCCTGAGAGCCACATCCACAGTGCCACCCCTCAGCTGGCACAGGCGGCACACCCCCACTCTGGAAAGCTGCACCACCTTCCTGGTCTTAACTTCAGAAAGCGTGGCCTACACCCACCAAGCTCAGACTTTTAGAAACTTACAAATACTTCTTATGGAGAGAAAATCCCAGCACTACAACAAGCCAACGATCACCTGACAGTAAGCCAGTAACCAGAAGTATAGCCAAAAACAGACCCCGCATGGAGGCCTTTGCCCATGCTGATCCCTGCTGCTCCTGCCAACAATGCCCTGTGCGTGCCAGACTCAGGAGACAGCAGGGAGTCACCCAGCAGGCAGGGCTGGGCCTCTGTGTGAGGACAGGGCTGTGGACATCAAGACCAGTTCTGAGACTGGGGCTGCCGGCTTCTGCCCAGCTGACCAGGAAGAAGTGGGCACAAGGGCACTGGTATCCAAGCCTCGAGGGTGAGCACTTTCAGGGAGGACCTCGTGCTTCCTTCTGACTCGGAACCGAAGGGCACAGGGCCTCTGCGCATCCTGGGCCAGCCCTTGTGACAACAGCACCCTGGCGAGAGGTGGCGGCCTCCCTCTGTCCTCTCCGGAGGTGGGGACACCTAGCACCAAGTGGGCTGGGCTCTTCTCTGCCTTGGAAGCATCTCATTTCTACTCGGGCTTGGCCATGGGCCCCAGATAGATTGTTTTGAAAAGCAGAAACTGTCTCATTTACCCTAAAAACCTTTGGAAAAACATATCCTATTCTATTTGATTCATAGCACCAGATAAAAGGTACTCGCATTCCTCCTCTCCCCAGTGATTGATGAATCGGATACAAATAATGATAAGAATAACAATTTCCACTCGCACAGCCCTTTATAATTCACAGGCCTCATTCCCACACAGGGTCTCCTCCTCGTCCTTCAGGACTCAGCTTCAAGAGCTCCCCCAGGGCCACTCCTGCCCCAGTGGCTGGGTCTGTGTGGGCCTCCCCAGGAAGGACACAGAGTCGGGACAGGAGGACGTGCCCAGATAGCACGGGCTGCGCCATGCCACTCTGCCTGCCTTTGCTCACCTCTGCCCAGGGCTCCTGCCAGCGCACTCTTTGCTGCCAGCTGGGGCACTGAGCTGAGCAGGTTTGATGGCTCTGGGATGGGTCCCTCCTTTCCCTACCCAGCCTCAGTCCCACGGGCCATCTTCAGGAGGAGAAAGGTGCCCTTCAGCCCAGCCCTTGCTGTCTGGGCTCCTTCCCACTGAAGCCCTCTGGCCCCTCACCCGCAGGGCCTTTATTCTTGTCGCAGAGACTGGGGCTGAGGCCAGGATGAGGTCTGAGTGGGCCACGTCATGTGACAGCAGCAGCATGACAGAGCGGGAGCCCACACCGGCCAGGCCCAACACCAGCGAGCAGTGCGTGTGGTGGGCTCACCTGGGCCAAAGCGGCAGCCAGGATGCCCTGGGGCCCCTTGGAGGCAGAGCAAGGGTCCCAGGCCATTCCTTGCCCCTGGGGACAGATCTGACAGAGACATAGACCTGGCTCCAGCACCAAGAGCACCAGGAGCCCAGAGCCCACTTAGAGAATAGCCTTCTGAACCGCACTGGCAGGACCTCGGGCCTGGGTTCTCAGCTCGTCATCCTCTGCCCATAAGCCCTGCAGAGACTGCCATGACCTGGAGTGTGGCTATAAACAGGCCCTGTGCACAGCCCAGCGCAGGGTTCTCCTGGTCTGGACCTCAACGTCCTCAAAGTCTCCAAGCCTCTGAAGTGGGGCTTTTGGGGGTCACCTGGATCCCAAGGGCACCAGCCTCACAGGTGGACCAACTCTAGCATGAGCTCACAGTCCAGGAATGTGTGTGTGAGCCGGCTGGGAGGTGGAGGTCACGGGTCCATCTTTCCTCTGGCTCTACCTGCCCTCTGCTCCTAGCCTCCCTGCTGTGAGCAGCTGCCCTCTGCCACACCCTTCCACCCTGCGGTCGTTCCTTGGAGCCTGCTGACCATGGACTATGGACCGACACCGTGAGCCAGACAAACCCCTCTTCTACACTGTATACGACAAGTGTTCTGTCCTAGTGACAGAAGCTGAGGACAGACCTGAGAGCTGCTGTTACCTGATACCCCCAGCACAGGCCCAGACCCAGGCCTCGGCCTGGTGACCCTGTGGCCACAGCCTGCCCTCCCTGCATTCCACCTTGGTTCTGTCTGACCATCTGTCTGGCCTCAGATGGCCACCTGGCCAGCGTCACATCCTCACAGGTTTCTCTGTTGTTGGCTTCCTAGAGATGTGGGCTCCAGGAGGGCAGACCATGCCTTCTCCTGTACTCCTCCTCCTCTGCATTCTCTGCCCACAAAACTGGTGCCAACTGTCTCTCCGTGAGGGCCTGTGTGACGCTTAGCGAGCGGGTGGCTTGGGCCTGACCCCGCTCACTGCACACTGTGTGTTTATTAGCAGCCTCGCTGACATGCACCTGACACACAACAGCAGGCACAGCCCAGAAGCAAATCGCCTGACAAGTTTAGATGGGTCATACACCCAAGAAACCTTCCCACACCAGCCACTGCATGCGCCCACCGTCCCACACCTCCTCCCCATCTCCCTGCCCACAGTCCCTGCTCCTTGCCCCCACTCCTCACAGGACTGCACCGACCCACCCAGGCTCCACTCCGACACAACCCCTTCAGACAGCACCCCTCCGTTCCAGGACTGAGCCTGAGCCCTCCTGGCCTGCGCTGGCTGCGCTGTCTTACCCCTGCCAGCTGGCCCAGCCGTCACCTTGCTGGACTGGATGTTGAGGAAAGGTCTGTCCCCAGGCCTGGCCTCACACAGCCCTGCTCCACAGAGGCCTGCTGAGTAAGCACTCACCAAAGGGGGACTCACCTTGGAGTGGGCCCAAGTGGGGAAGAAGGGGCTCCTGGCTCTTTGGGGTAAAACTTGGTTGCTCACTGCTGTGGAGGTACGTATGAGAGTGAGCCAACCACCAGGCCCTGGAAGTGCACACGACAGACGCTGCCGGTCTGCCCGGCAGTGCCCAGTGGGTGGTCAGGACCTGCCCGCCTCAGAGCCTGGGCCACGGGCAGGCTACCTGTGCTCCAAAGAAGCCCTCAGAGCCCTCTGGCTGCATCTTTCCTGCCCCTTCCTTCTTCGGGTTACAAAATATTAACTTAAAAAAGCCAAATGCAGAGACAGCAGAGGTCCGTCTTTCCCTAAGCCTGGGTCACACAGGGAGGGCAGACTAATTTTATTAACTCCAGGGAACTTCAAAAAGCTTCAGGGCTTTCAT